TTTTGAGCATTCTCGAAAAATAATCTTCCGAAAAAGAATTAAAATATTTCGATTACTTTAACCGAGTTTGGAACCGAACCCAAAACCGGAAGCCTCTAGGCGCCATCTCAAATTTAAAAATCCTAAATTAAAACTATTTTTAGTTTATGATCTGATGATCTTAACATTTTAAGGAACTCATTAGATAAAATTTGCTTTATTATATAGTATGGGTGTGTATATAGATAATCTTCAGTTAATCTAAAAATGTCACTTTTCCGAATTGACTTATTTTTTTCTATTTTGGAATTACTCACAATATTCATTTCGATATCTTTTAGCAACGCCATTATTTTTGATTTTATCATCATTGACAAAAGGAAAATGGCGAATCATTATTGAATGGGATAGATTCTAAATCGCTAAGACAAATATCTCTAAAAATTGGGAATTTCGCTTATCAAATTGGAAGCGTTGATAATACTTCCTCCATTTTTAGCGATTTTTTTAAAAAATTCTCAACTTAAACACAAGTGTTTACTCCCCTTAGCATCTATAAGTATTAATTTCAAATTTATTTTATAAACGAAATTCCCAATTTTTAGAGATTTTTGTTTTCGCGATTAAATTTCACTGTATTTTACCTCAATGATGCAGTAAAATATGATGCCATGCGATTTGTTTAAAAATAAATTGTACCTATTCTCGGAAAGTTTATTTTATCCGATCCATTTTCCTCCTGCCATCGTAGGCAAATTTTTTGAAAATCATCAATTATAAATTATAATATATGTTAATTCGTTTTCATGTTTAATTAATTTTGATAGTGCTGTTAAACTATCTAACTTTAGCCAACTATAAAATAGTGGTAGCCATATTTTTATCCAAAAATATTCGAATCAATTTTCCAAGTTGAGACTTCAACTTAGAAGATTAATTCAATTTTTTTAGGCTAAAAGTTTGACTACAACACTAAATTTTGATGTGCAGGTACTTCTACAAACAATATCCAAAGCCCGTGACGATATGAGTTTCCTAAAAATATTTAACTTCATATCCTCCCCTCACCCAAAAAAAATATTTAGCTTCGACCCTTAAAAAATGCCCTCCTATCCACTAAAGATTTTCCCAAAAGGATTCCCCCACCCCCGGAAATAAAAAATTTTTTTAAAAGGGGAATAAGAAATTCCTCAAAAACCATAATTCAAAAGATACCAGTTAATTTCTGCAATAGTCGATGAATTATTTTTGCTTTTAAATTATTATTTTTTGCTCTTACAGCTGTTTATTTAAGATCTTATCTCTTCACTTAATCCCGAAGATTGCACATTCTAAAATATAAAACATTTGTGGCAACCAAGTGACTATCTGTAATTATTTAAATTTTCGCAATAGTCGATCTTTTGCTTATGAATTTTTTTTCTCCTCTCTACAGCTGTTAATTTAAGGTCTTATCTTCACTTAATCCCGAAGATTGCACATTCTAGAAAATAACAAATATTTACGGCATCGTTTTGCTTTTTCGGGTTTTAAACAAACACTCCTTGAAGTTGACCACTTTATTTTGTTTAAAAAAAAATATTGTATTCATCTTGTATTTTTGGTTCCCTAATTTTTTTTTCATATTCAGGCCAACGAAGAGATGATGACCACTCCTTAAAATAATTGATTGACGTGCGAGAGATTGATAAAAAAAAGTCATAGCTGAATTAAGAATGAAATGAGATGGGCATATAATTTTTTTTAGGAATATATTATACCTAAATATACACTAACAAAATATATTTTGAAAAAAATGGTGTGTAAAATAAGAAAAAAAGTAACGGATTGCCTAAATTCGTTACTTATTTATTTTCCCGTAAGTAACGTTTAAATTAAAAATTATTGTATACATATATTAAGAAAACTATAAACATATTCATATTATAAATTAATAATAATAGATAGCCTTTTCGTTATTCATTCTCAGAATATCGTGAAACTCTATCTTTACACCCTTGTTAGTTTATGTAAAGATGCGGGTAACCATGCATGGGAAATGGGGTGAGAATCTTTCATATCGAAAAAAATATATACATAATTATCGTGTATTTTAGGTGGGTGATATAACTTAGGAAAGGCGTCTAACTGGATGGACACTTTATTAATCAAGAAAGAAATCAATCGCGTTTTTTTTTAAATGAAGGATTGATTATTTTATCTCATAATAAACCACTTGACCCTGGCCACGATACCATTAACCCTTTAGGGTTGAAGAGCAAAAAAAACAATTTATTTTAACTAAAATCGATTTTAGTGAAGAAAAAATATATTAAAAAGGTTATTTTTTTAGGTATTTCATGGTATTTTTTCCATAGTTCTGATTCAAACTATTTTCATACATATGATGATTTTGGTTATAAAATGACGTCTACTAGCCAATTATACTATTAAAACTCAGATTTAAATTTAACCTAAGTGAGTTTGTATTCATATATTTTTTTAAAAAATTAATATAATAAATTATAAAATTAATAAGATATCAGAATAATTTTCTGGGCAACATATGTTATCGGTTACTATTCAATGATAAAATAAAATCAATGACCAGTAAAAGAAAGAAAAAACATTCAAACAGAATAAAAATTAAATTTTAATAAAGATTAATATTTTTTGGTGCTTAAATATTTATCTTTATGCAGCCTCGAGAGAATATTCTAGAAAATAACAAATAAAATTTGATTTTTTTTGTATTCTATTGTATTTTTTTTAAAACAAATATTAATTATTTATAAATTAACAAAATGGACCTTAAAATTTATTTGCAAAATGTTAGACTTAAATTATTTTGCCGCAAAAAGGAGTGAGTTTGAATCTCTTACAACTTCAATTTGATTGGTCGATGGTAAATCTTTTATTTCCGTTTCCTCTTGTAATTTAATATATTACTTTTATATAAGTGTCATTTCGAGTGCTTTCTCTGGCAACATATGTAATGGCCTGAATTTGGGGCATAAGAAAAGAGTGATAAAATGATAATTATCTAAAATAAATTTTTTTCCTTAAATTGATTGTCCCTTGATGCTTTTTTAATTATTAAATATCATTTAAAATGTTGATTAGTTGAATATTATTTGAATAATATTTTATATTATCTAGGAATCGAAAAAATAGAAACAGGAAATATTATAAGTGAATGAATGTGATAGACTGTTCCTATGATACACAATTTTTTCAAAAATATTTTAATTTTGTTTTATAATTTTTAAGATAATAATATTTAAAATAAATAAAAATACAGTCAGACCCTTGCACCCGGGGCAAATTTAGACCGTGTCGAGTTTAGAACCGGGGCGAGTTTAGAACCGGGTCTGCAGGTCTCTGATCTCCGATAATATAATATCTATAAGATTGTGTCCAAAACCATTTTTAAAAAATTTGAAAAGTTTCAAAACTTTCCCAAATTTTAAAATTAAAATAAAAAAATCGAGTTAAAATTATTTTCTAGAAATATATTTTGGACGTGATTTTATTTTTTATATTTTTAAAAGAGCTTATTTATTTTCATTATAGTTGTGAAAGTTTGCTAATTTAATTTTTTAATATTTTGGACACAACCTAAGTAAGAATTTTAGTTTATACTTTATAATATTATCCTTTTACATACACTTATATTTTGTAATGTAACACTTTGCATTTTTGAACACAAAAAAATATGAAATATAAACTATAAATTTTTCTTTCCCAATTATTTATTTTATTACCATGTGATTAAAGATAAAATCTTTGTCTTGGGACACCAGGAGGATATACAGGCACTAAACATTTTAAAAAAAAAATTTGTTCTATATTCTAAAGAAAATATTCTAAGCATTTGTCCCCATCAGTCATTTCATTTAATTTAAAAAAGTTAATATTTCCAAAATGCAATTCTTCTTTATATTATCAGGAGCCAATTTATTTGTACCTATACTTCAAAAATTTAAATAAATATTTAAATCGATAGAATATTGTCAACCTTCAATTTTATCAAAATAACCTAAAAAGCACCCATCCAATAAAATCTAGTTGCATTGATATAAAAATTAATTTAACCTGGGCATCAGTTAAAACATGCTTTATCAAGATTTTCTGCTAACATCCTTATACAAAATTTCTTTTTAATTGCAAAAGGATTGGAATGCTGCTATCGTGTTACGCTCTGTCGATTATCTACTTTCGAGGAATGACGTACAGTTGTGTGGTATCTTTTCTACATGGGTAATGGATAAATCAGGCCAAGAATAGTTAGAAGCTTGTCCAAGCATAATTATGTTAGATAAATATCATTTGACAGATTAGGAATTTAGTTATGTTTTTATTATCAGGCTAGGCCTAGACATATCTCTACTTTATCTGTAAAGGATGAGGGGGCTATGGTTGTTTCTAAAAAGCTAGATATCCACTCCATTGTCTAGTGAACAGATACAAATATGTACATGAATGAATTAACAGTAATAATCCAAAATTCATTATTCAAAGCTGATGTTCTTTTACATCTCAAACTAAGTGATACTTCCGTTATTAATAACTCACGGCCTGATGGATATTATGCTAGCTTCTTAGAATATGGGGAAATATCTATATTGATATATGAATTAGATATATGGACCCGAATAATAATCACATCTAGTCGACAACAATATATTTATGCTCGACGTGGTATCAACACACTGCCCATTTGAATAAGGCGAATTCCCTATTCTACCTAATTAGCCAGAAGAGCCCTAAAACAATAATCTCGAAGGCCTTTGGATCAAACAAAATATTAGCCTTGAATTTCTACGGTGCAATCATGGCTTTCATATTAAGAGGATGATTATTTTTAACTTTAAAAAAACTTGAATGTTATTTTTTAATTTTCAATTTGTAAATGTTATTTTATACATAGCTTACATTTATATTACTTTATAATTATTAAATCAATAAAGAGCAGTAATAAATGAATCATCACACTAGGTATTATTTATAACCCTTAGATTTTGATATACATATATGCCAATCAATCATTCAATTTTCGAGTAAAATATTCATAATCCCGATTCCATATTTGGCGGGTATTACGAAATAATGGCAAGTTTTTTAAAATAAATATTTCATTATTTTTGATAATATCAACATTTATAGGGACGAAAAATATAAATTCAAAAAAAAATTTTGGGAATCAGGTATTATTAGATTATATAATAAACCAATAACCATTCAAATAGGATGCCACTACGTCATCACAAAGCAACAAAATTCATTCAAATTTGGGTTAATATTTTTTTAACTAATTGATCTAATTAATAAAAAATTTTTTTACCATTAATAGGTGATGCCCCAGTGCATTATCACAACAAACATGTTTTAAGAGAAATAAATAAGTATCAAAAATCATCAGAACTATTGATTAGAAAACTTCCCTTTATGAGACTAGTAAAACCATTTTTTATTATTAACAATGTTGAAGTATTAGGTTAAAGAAATATCAGATAATATGTGTTTTGAAGATAGTAGATTTCGATGGCAAGCTGAAGCCATTCTGGCCTTACAGGAGGTAATATTAAATTAATATTCTTACATGATCATTTAGGCTGCTGAGGCCTTTTTAGTTACACTAATGGAGCAAACCAATTTATGCGCAATCCATGCTAAAAGAGTAACAATAATGCCTAAAGATATTAAATTATTCATAAGAATAGTATCTCCTTTTAATAATTAAAATTTTAAATATACATTTTATTGTAAATATTTTTTTAAACTCTTTATAAGTAATATTTATGTAAATTTTTATATATTAAAGCATACCTAAATTATATTGTACAAATTGTAATTTTAAAAATAAAATTAGGAAACATATTTTAGACCATTTTTGTTTTCATATATCAATGATTCATTGCTACCCCTTAATATCAATATTACAGTGATGAGACATACTATAAGAAAGCATTAATCATTGTTTTAATTTTTTATTAAAATAAATAAGCATTTTTATTTATTAGCTTCCCTAACCCTATTTTTTATTTATTAAAAAAAGAAACAATTTTCTATTTGCTTCATAGGTGTATATATTTTTTAAACATTAATTTTTAATGTAGTTTAAGAATAATACTAATTTAATTTGAGAATAATACTAATTTAATTTGAGAATAATACTAATTTTATTTGAGAATTTCTTAATTGCTTCCCTTGCTTATATGCATGCTGCTTCCTCAGAGAAATATGGTGCTAGCCATTATTGTTAAAGAGTGTGGTTTTTATACTAATTCATAACAACTTTATTATTTATTTTAAAAAATAAAATTTGAATACTAAAATTAAGATGCGTGTAATATTTTGTAAGAACCTTATATTCAACATAGAAAATATTCGAATTTATGTAAAAATATGCAAAGTTTAAAATTTGTTATAACACTGCCCAGGAAAAATTAATATATTTTCTCAAATTACAAATAACACATTGATACACATAACATCCCAATTATTAAATATCAATTGTTTGTAACCTACATTTATCAAGCTACGATGTGTGTTTTTATAGTATCAAATGATACCACCTTTTTCTATTCAAAAACTAATATGAAGGAAAAAATGATATTCTTGTATTTGATTTTTTTCTATAAATACTCATACAAATAATAAAATATATTATTCTCATTTGAAAGAATCAAATACAAATTATTTATTTTCATTTATAATACTCATTTTTTTATAGCCAAAAACTTATTACTATTATATATATATATATGTCTTGAAATTTGTGTATTCATTGTCATATAATTTAAATCTTTATTTATTCAGAAGGGAGAAATAGTATAAAAGAGAGAAAAGAGAAGAAAAACAAACATTATGAATATATTATTTTTAAATTAGTAAATTCTTAAATTATTATTCTTCAGCTTATGTAAAACCCAAAAATCATTAACACATAAAAAATAATGAAAGATTCCTTATTTTGCATATTTTTTGGTCTTGGGTTATCTTAGGGTCTTGTCATATTTTTATTTACCCAATATTTGATGCTATAATTAACAATTTAATATATTTAAATTAAAAATTGTAAAGTACAAATTTTTAGGAATAAAATATAAAGTTTATATTGTGTTATTTTATATATAATTTTGGGGGTGAAAATATAATATTAAAATGTTCTTTATGTTTTGCAACAATATTATAATATATTTTTTTTCATAATACAAATAATTAGGTAATATAGTTTATCAGTGCGGTTATTTCTTTAATTTAAATGCTACTTTTAGAAGTAGCATCCTAACTATGACATATAATAATACCTAGACTGATGATGGATTCATTAAAAGTGTACATCAATGAAAAACAGTTGGGGACGCCATTTTAGTTACCTGTATTATTATTTATAATTTTAAAACAAAAGGCCAATTTCCTAAGTCTGACCCAAACTTTATTAAAGAATTGCCTGATCATAGAGATAACAAGGAAGCAAGTAATCAATTTTATAGTTGTTTTTAACATCAGAAATTACTATATAGGTTAGCAAAATGGCGGGTCCAGCTGATTTGCATACAATGACCCTTTCAACTGCATAATTATGAATGCATTGTGGTATTATATATCATTAGTGCTAACGCTATTTAATAAAAAGGGTGGCACACTTATTAACTTATTCTTTAAAAAAAAAAATTTCGCTAAAAAAAAATTTACGATACTTTATAAAAAAAAATTAAAATATAAATTTCCCATATAAAATAGCATTTCAAATTCAAACATGTAAAAATATGACTAAAAATTTAAGCTGATATTATTCAGCTCTATTTTATCATCCCCAAAGTCTAATAGCAACGATCAGAAAGTATAAGCTTTGCCTTACTAAATAATCACTCAACACTAGAAACTTGAGGGCAATTACAAGTATTTAAATTTATACATAAGAAAAATTATCAAAAATGCTTAGAAGGTCAAGGGGGATATTTTTTGTATTATTATCCTTTATTTCAAAAAAAAAAATCTTCCATATGTATCATAGCTCTAAAAAAATATACATATCAGATTATAAATCAAAATTACTTAGTCCAATAATCAGCTGTTATCCAGGTATTAGGAGACATTTGATAGATTACATATTAAATATTCTTTTATTTCTTGGAAATTAGCCAGAATTCTTGTCATTAATGTCTGCCGGCAAAGATATATTGGTACCTGAAGTTGTTTATCTATATCACCTTGAATTCATAGTTCCACAATTGCTATCGCGATTTAACAGCTGATCGATTTTTAAAAATTTGTTTATGAGATCAATTTTTATTTATTAATAGTAAATTTATCTTTTAATTCAATTCATAATAATAATAATTTAAAAAAGAAAAATAGATAACAGATTTAAAAAAAACTGTCAGCTGTTAAATCGCAATCCCGCCACTATGATTTAGGCCAGATAGATAAATGAGACATTATCTATCAAGGAAAATGGATTGACTATCAATTATAAAATTGATTATGAACTATGTCAGACAATTTTTGAAAGGCACCTATTACCTGATGTTGTGAGACAATTTAGTTTAAATTAAAATTTTATTTGGATGCAGCCTCTAACACCGCAAAATTATTGGAATACTTTACAATTCTCCTTAAAATTTTAAGTGAGGATTTTCTAAATTTAAAACAGTGATAATTTTGATAAAATTTATGAATAATGTTTTTTTTACATGTTTCTTTAGTTTTAAGATGCTTGATTTATTGAATGATATTATCCTCAGCCATTTTATAAACCCAAAATTTAAATTCTGTTACAAAGTTTTTTTATATATATATATTTAGTTAAAAATATTATGCAAATTTTGGGAAAAGAAAATTTCCACAATACCATTTTGCCATTGAATTTTGTTGTGTTACCTGTCTTAAAATTCTCTTTCCAGATCAATTTCTTATTGGCGGCATTTTATATTTTTAATTACTTGATAAATTAGATAATGCAGATATTAAATTTATAAACAACATAATTTTAAAATTAATTTTGGAAAATTATAAATAAATTTTATATTGTGCATTTATTATATAAAATTGAAAGTGAGATAACGCGCTATTTAGCTTCTCTTAAAAAATAGGTCGCAATACCGCCACAGGAAGAAGTTAGCGCGCTACTTGTACGCATGATTATAACGTATACCCTTTTATTGATTGTTTTCGATATATACAAACTTATTTTTTTTCTATTTTTTTATGAGTGACATATTAATTTAAAATGATACTTAAAAATTGATTCAAATTAAATGAATCTAATAGTGTTGTTAAACGGCTCGATTTGAGCCGATTTTTATAAACGGCTAACTCAATATTTTAGCCAGAAGAAATATTGTCTGAGCCTCGAGATTTCGTCAATAGATGTTCAAACCTTTGTGTCCCCTGTGAGCAAAATCTTTAGACTTGCACAAGATTTTTTCCTAATAAAATATTGATTTAAAAATCGGCTCAAAATGAGCCGTTTTACAACACTGGAATCTACATAAAGTCCAATGCTTGGTCTGAGATACTGGTGGTATATATACATATATATATATATATATATATTCAGAGACCTGTAGAAATACCATCTGCAGGGCCCGGATTTTTTTAAAATATATTATATTTATTCTTAATTTTTTATAGCTAATAATGGCGATTGCAAATATTTTTTATAAAATAAATTTTTAAGCCCGGCCCGTGTACAGAGACCGGGTTAAAGGCCAGGCCTGCCTGATATATATATATTAAATATAGGCGAAGGGTTGATTTTGGCTAGTTGCTTTAAAAGAGGGTAAATTTTTCAAATTTGTTCTTAAGATATAGTTATAATTATGGATGCTATACAATTAAAAAGTTATGTAGAAGGGTAGACGCATTAAAAAATTAAAACGATTAGTATTTTTAACAGGAACTCGGATATATTATCTGAGCGGTAATCGTCCGATATCAATTTTATATCGGATAAGCCTCCAAAGTATCGATACACCCCTAATATTATTTATCTCATCTGCTCGATTTCTATAAAACGTATAAATGGGGGGGAGGTTAGAGTTATTTTCTAAATAAAACAAAATTTGCATATATGGGGCTTAAAATATCTTTTAGCACGTGACTTACACCTTACATCCGTTAACAATAGCTGAACTAGCATGTACTTTGATAAAAATTTTAAACTACAATCAAATTGTAACTTGTAGAGAATTTTGTAACGGATTAATAACATTATTTAGTAGTTTTCTTGCACGAGTGTAAATCCAAATAGAGTTCGGGAATTCAAAATTGTTTGGTTTGGGCATTTTGAGACCACAAGCCAAACAGGGATCGTTTTACCAACAACCTATCGAATCAAGGGGAAGTATGGACCCAGAGCGGGTTCAGACCCCTTCAGTAAAAAAAATAGGTTTCAAAGAAATTTCTGTTATCAAAATTTTTGCTAAATAAATTTTACAATGTGGGTTCACATTCTAAAAACGATTTTTTGAAAATCAAATTTTAACTGTTTTGTTATAAAATAAAAATTTTATATAATAAAAAAAAATTTGGGGGTAATTTTTATACAGAGCCGGTTTTCCGATATTCAAAAAAAACCGATCCGATATTTAACCGACAAAATATCACGTTTTTTATCTACGCTTTTCTTTTATAAAATAATTTAATTTTTTTAAAAAAAAATTAATTCAATTTTTAGTTCCTTTCCTTTTTGTTCATTTGTTATTTATTATTATTATTATAAAATTGTGTATAAATTTTAAAAAAATATATATATAATATAATCATAGCTTTTTTAAAAACTTTGTTTTAAAAAGTTGTGCCGTTCGTTACATTAACTTTATAAAAACAACACCGTTGCGTTACTTTTTTTAAAAATATAGTATCTCCGTTACTTTACTTTAAAAAAAATAAATACCGAAGCCATTACTGTGAAAAATTATTGCCTAAATTGGCTATCCTTTTTTTATTTCAATCGATACATATTCATTACAACCACGCGATAAACATGATCATTCTACCCCGGTGCACTAGCGGGCTGGGTCGGGCCAATTCGGGTCGAGTCGGATCTTATATATTTTTTTAAAATATATCTTAAATTTATCAATTTTTATGTTGAATTTTTTTATGTAAAATAAAAATATGTGATTTTATTTATAAATAGTAGACGCCATATAACATATATCCTTTATTTTGAGTAATTATAAGAATTAATTTCTGTATTTAAATAAATTCGGGCCGGGCCGGCAAAATTTTTTAAAATATATTTTGGACCGGGCCGGGCTTGAAAAATTAGGCCCGCTGCAGATCACTAACATATATTATTTTAAAAAAATAGTAAGGCCATTATCCGACTTTTTCTTTGGGGGGGGGGGGGTGATAATTATTGGAATCAGATCAATTTTTTGAAAAATATTGGTCCGATCCGATATTATTCTCAGGTAAGTGTTACGTTTAAATGAAATCTTTAATTATACATTTGAATTATTTATACAATTGTTTTTTGATCTGGTTCCAGTTCCTAAACTTAAATATAATTTTTACGCTGGCATAGTTACCCCATTGATTGGAAGTTGTCCTAGAACACTTATTAATGCAATCGTTATTTTTGGTCCATGGAAGCCTGTCCAGTTGCTAAACTTAAATATGGCTACTCCTCTGGCCTGGGGATCCTTATACGTTAGCATTGTTTGTTACCCCATTGATTAGAGGTTGTCAAGAACACTTATTTCACCAACAAACTGCGCTTATAGAGCTAACAACTATTCATTTTTTTTCCAAGACTCAACACAGTTAGGTTTGTGTTTCTGTATTAACCAAGCAAACATAAAAGTAGATTACTTTAAATATTAAACTTACGTTTAAGTCCAATTTATTAATATTTTAATAACATTATACTAATATAAAGGCTACTAGAGCGTTCTGCAACTGATATTAAACAAGATGTTTGATTTTACTCGCAGTTTTTAAGAGCTTTGAAAAATTATTGCCGTTTTTTGGCGTAATTTTAACGTTACGTAAAAGACTAATAACCAGTCGATAATTTTTAACAACGCTTTTTTAAAATATTCGATTCTTGTCTTCAGGTATACGGTTTATAACAATCATTTCTATTAGCTTAAAGTTTATGAATAATTATTATATATATAAGCGGCGGCAATGTCTTTTTTCCGTCAATATGCTATGCTTTTTTTTTTAATTTAAAAATCTGATTTTACCGGAAATGGACTCTATCATGTTTTTCCCTAAGAATTTCAGATGAATTTTGCCATGAAAATTTTGAACTTAATATAATATATATTTGTTTGTTTTTTTATAGATTTTTTAAATAAGTTATAAATGTCCCAAAAATTAACGATAAAATTATCTACAATTCATTTAGAAAATGATTTAAACTTGAAATATTAACACATTGCTGCTAACAATATATACACATACCTATATACTGATCGAAATTCTTCATATCTATAAAATAACCAGACGATAAATTTTTTTAACAAACGCTTTTTAATAATTCGATAAAATAATTCATTTCCAATATAGCTTTAAAGTTTACGAATAATTTAATATATTTTAAAAATGGCAAAAAATTTTTAATTAATAATCCACAATTAAGTTAAATAACCAAACGATAATTTTTAATATGCAAATGATATTTAAATTTTTTTTGGAAACTCTTTATATAATTTGGCTTTATCTAGAATTTTCTTTTTTAAGTAATTAATCTTATAAAATTTTTGGCCAAATATTATTTATTTATAACCGTAATTTTTCTATTTATAAAATTGTTTAAAGCTTAAAAATTCATATTATAATTAAAATATATGTTTGTAAATCATTATTTTTTAGGCCGCTCTCTTTCTATTGGCTGTTTTTAAAAAAAATTATATATGTGATGTGACCAATGAAAGCCATTCTATCATATAATACAAAACGGAAAGTATATTTATCCATTCCTTCATAATATTTACAAATTATGGCTCCTTTGAGAAAAGAAATTCTAACATTTTAAAAAATAAAATAAATGGAAGAAATATTATCCCAAACATCGGCAGGAAATGCGACCAACACCACCGCAAAACCTACAAAATGGAGAACTTACAAAAACCTGATAGCTCTCAGCTTGTCATTTTTTTTCTTGTTCTCGGTTTTCGTATCCCTCTCTACCCTTCAAACTAGCATTCACGGTAACAATGGACTTGGCTCTACCTCCATGTGCATAATATACGCGTTCTTCGTTGTGTCTTGCCTATTTTTACCAGAATTGCTCATATCTTACCTGACTATCAAATGGACAATCGTATTATCCATGGTCATATACACCAGTTTCTTGGCGGCTGGTTTTGTACCCGCCTGGTACACCCTTTATCCGACTTCGGTTCTCTTGGGACTCGCCGCTGGACCTCTGTGGATTTCCCAATCAGTTTATATAACTTCTCTTGGCAAAATTCTTGGACAATGCGTTGCCCCCTCCAGCGATAAACAGAGTATCGAAAAACGAATGAATATATCTATCTTATCCGTTACAGAATCCTCAAAATCCATAATTTCTACCGGAAATGATAGTAACAGTACTACATTAGAGACTGAAGGAAAGGGAACGAGAACAGATTCTGTAGCGACTATAACGATATTCATGTTTGGTATTTTTTACGCCTTCTACCAGGCCGGAACCATATTGGGTCAGTTGATTTCTTCGCTAACCTTGAAGAGCGATATCGTGATTACATCACGCGACAACAGTAGTGTAAACTATTTTACCAACTGCGGATCTGCCTTTTGCTCTGGCAACGACGCGGGAAATTCTAACTTCATACCTTCCCAAACTAAATTGAACATACTATACAGCGTTTATTTTGCTTTATCCCTTTCGGCTCTGCTGGTAGTGCTAATTTTTATGGATAATATTCCACAGAAATCTATCAAAGATTATAGCCATAATGTCGGTACTTAAAATTGATTTTAATTACAGTTTAGTGATAGCCAAACGATTGAAAAATATAGAAAGATGATTTGGTCACAATATGTGTGTAACTTAAATGATTAGTTTGTTAAGGACTGAATCACGGCAAGCCTTTTTGATCGAGGTTCGATACCCAACCCGGTATTTTTTTCCCAATGAACCAACCTCATTGAGTTGAAGAGCTAAAAAAATTAGAAAGATATGTGGTTTAAATAAAAATTAGTCGTTGTTTAGTAAATTTGCCATATGATGTCTAAATCGTCGGTTATCACTAGCCATACTAGATTTTAAATGGGGTAAAGGGAAGTTGATGATATTTCTCACCACTAGGGATATCAAATTTGAAAAAATTTCTATTTATTGTTGGTTTTATATTATTTATCTTTTTTTAAAAAAAAAAGATGTTAAGAAAATTGCCTCCATTTGGTCAATGTGTTTTTCCACACTGAATCAGATGCGAGATTTGAGACAACTATTCATGATCCCATTATCCGTCTTCTTCGGCTTGCATCAGGGCATTGTATCTGCCGATTTAACTAAAGTAAGATCATATTCAACAATAAGCGATTATTTTTTTTTTCCTTTTTAATAATATATTAAGGCCTCTTTTTTGTATATTAAGTCCTTTTTCAAAAGCAAAGCTAATAATAGGTGAAAATTTATAATATAGAGAGATGTAATTCATTTCATGGCTAACTAGTAGATAGCCCGTTTATGTATGACTTGGAATCAGATTTTCCCGCTTAATTTTGACGATGTAATAATCGGAGATTTCTACCTTCGTTTGACGATGGATAAATAAAAAATCCAACCTATCTTATAAGAGATAATGGAAATTAAAAATTCACATTTATTTTGACGAAAGTTAATAATTTATTATTTCTAGAAAATATGTTAAGTTGAAAGTGTATATTTTGTTAGCGAAAATGTGTTATTTTTCGACTTTAAATCATTTTTTGAGTGCGTTTTTTTTTAAGTTTAAAAAATCTGATTTTACCGAAAATGATTCCCATCATGTTTAGGAATACTCACCCTTATAAATCTCAGACAATTTTGCCAGGAACTTTAGAACTTGATAAAAATTTATATTTAAATTTTCAATAAATTCTTTATATAAATTATATATGACTCCAAGGTAAACTCAATATTTCATCCATAAAAATACTACGCAAAGCCTGCGGATTTTACTCATAGAAGGAACGAAGGTCTAGACATATATCATCAAAATCTCGAGGCTAAGGTAATATTTTCTGGCAAAAATACTACGCAAAGCCTGCGGATTTTACTCATAGAAGGAACGAAGGTCTAGACATATATCATCAAAATCTCGAGGCTAAGGTAATATTTTTCTGGCTAAAATACTACGTAAACCTGCGTTTACAAAACAAGGTCCAGACATAATCATAAAATTCAGGCAAGGAATATTCCCGGTAAAATCAGATTTTTTTTTAAAACGCCTCAAAACGAGCCGTTTAGCAACACTACTCCAAGGTCCAGCAAAATTGTCCATAATTCATTAAGATATGGTTATTCCAGGCATGATGGAATGTATTCCCGGTAAAATCAGATTTTTAAAATTTTAATAAAAACGCGCTCAAAAAAAAAATGATTTTAAAGTTGAAAAAAATAATACGTTGCCGAGAAAAAACACATTGACGCTAACGTATTCTTCACTCAGTCAAAAAATATTTAAATTATCATTTATTTGATACCAATATCGATATTTGATATTGATTAAAATATTAATGACTCCTCTTATACCGATTCGCCAATAGGGTAAGATTGGCATCCTTGTTGAATAGATTTTTGATTAGCTATCGAATTGATACCTATTATTGAACATATATACCTTCATAAGGTCAAAAAAAACAAGATCAAAATTAATAAAATTTTGAGAACTCTTGAAGGCACGACACTAAGCAGCTGCGACAAATGATCAATTATAGTATTTAGTGATGAGTTCGATTCCAAATTCTGGTATTGTTACACTTTGTCAAAAAAAATATGTCATAAAATGTGACAAGCCTTTTATTATATATAGATAAAAGGTATACTCGCAATATTATACTATAGCATTCTTTATGTTATGCTTTATAATATTCTTCATTTACATTGAATGTCGTTTAATTCCTAAAAATATTTGTTATTCGAAATTAGCAACCAAAAAATATATAGGAAAGAGTTTATCCCCTAACATTTATTCTACCCAGAATTATGAGCGAAGAAAAAAAAAAACTTATGACGAAACGCGGCCTAAACGTTTTTAAATATATATATCCTTTCTTTCTTTCTTTCTTTCTTTCTTTCTTTCTTTCTTTCTTTCTTTCTTTCTTTCTTTCTTTCTTTCTTTCTTTCTATATAGATATTTTTAATTGGATTGAATTTTAAACAAAATTTCAAGGCACTGTCATAGTAGATGTTCCAAACCTTTGTGTCATTCTTATGAGGCAAAATCCTTAGAGCTCGCATAATATTTTATTCGGTTAAAATATTGAGTTAGCCGTTCTTAAAAACCGACTCAAATCGAGCCGCTTAACAACACTGCCTTTGATAAGGCGAGGCGTCGTATCCTAATTATTTTTTTTTTGTAATAATAACAAATGATGGCGGATAGGGGAAGCGTTTATCAAAATTAATATTCATTTTATTATAAACTTTATAATTATTTCTCCCGAATTTTAAAGGTTTTTTTTTGTAAATAAATAATATAAATTTTATGTTAAATTTGTGTGTTTTAAAAAATTGAAATCAATCTTATATATTAAAAAAATATAACAGCCAAATATGCAAATATTCAAAATGATTATAATTATATTTTTAAAAAAAGGTATAAAACCTTGATGAAAAATATATATTTATTTTGCCTACCTTTTACATTTATGATTTAAGACTTATTAATATCGTCAAAAACTATTTTTTTTAACCTAAATAAAACTGTAAATATTCGATATAATAGGAAAAAACCGTATCCGAAATTTCTACTGTTCGGTTAGCGCCTTCTCCTTGGCCCTGAATTTATAGTTAACGCGAAAACGCCGCGTTTTTGTATTCTTCGCCGCGTAGCGCTAACTGTGAATTCAAGGTTTAAATTGTTCGTTTTCAATATCACGAGCAAGTCATTTTCAAAAGCTTTTTGTTTGTAAAATTATCAAGAGATTTTTTTTTCTAGTAGAGAGAAGCAATATCCGATAGGTGCCAATAACTGACAATTTAGAGAATAAAAATCGGATCATTGCGATTTTCTAAAAAAAAAAATATCAATCTGATCCGGTAGTATTGTTTTCGGATATTTTATAATAGGCACATGTCGTCTTGGGGTGAAATCAGCCGGTATAGCATTTTAAATTTGAAAAATCTCGGCAAATTGTCTTGAAGACTAGTAAAAGAAAGATTAGGGGATATCTCCCCCACTCAACTTCCCAAAATTAATCATGGCGACTAGAGCTAGATAGAATAAATTTATGAGAATAATAAAATTTATCATTTATTTTATATTTTTTTCTCTTTTGTCCTACTCGCAAAGGCCTACGTAACCTGTTATTACGGAGTGGAATACGTCGGATACGTCATGATGGTGTACGGGGCGGTTAGCGCTGTATTTTGCCCCGTCTCAGGTTACCTCAGTAAGAGGCTACCGTGCTGGTCACTGTTTTTAGTCGCCGCTATAACCCACTCTATAATTTTTGTCATTTTGGCCTTCGCCAAACAAGCTTTCGTTAGCCACTTCTATCTGATATTCGTGGTAGCGGGTCTATTGGGATTCTTTTTTGGCATTTTTCAGCCACAAATCAATGGTATAATAGATGGATATACACATATATTGTTTTTTTTGTAGATACATTTTTTTTCAAAAAATAAGATCGAGATCGATACATTTTCATTTGCTTTTAGCTAGAAATATGTAGTTACCCTTAAAATTAATTTAAATTCTTTATTATCTTAGAGTTAGGTGTACCCAAGGATGTGAACCCAAACCCGAGTTCAAATTTAAAATTGTTTGGTTGGGCATTTTAAAACCATAGACCAAACAGAAACCGATTTAAGGACAACTCATTAAACCCGGGGTAATATGGACCTGTACATCTCCAATTTCAATTTTATTCTTTTCCTTCCTAAATCAGCTGTTAATTTATAATCATTTTTTAAAAAAATATATATATAAGGTTTATACAGCACGATATTTCAAGAGAACCCTGAACCGGCATTTGCCAATCACAGATTATGGGAATCGGTGGGAATGATAATAAGTTTCAGCTATCACGAGGTCCTATGCATGAAATCGAAACTCATATTCTTGTCAATCATCTTAGCCTTGGCTACTGTCTCTTACGTTATTTTGGAAACTAGAATCAAAAAGAGGATTATGAGATGATTCTATAAGGTGTAAATGAAGATTCTATCAAATAATAATAACAAATACTAAATGACAAAACTAAAACATTGTAATAGTGTGTCAAACCCAACATTCTATGTTTTTCTTGGCAGAAATGCGTTAAACCGAATTTCTATATACATATATATATATACTCGAAAGATTACAAATAATCCATATTCTTAACCTATTAATTATATATATATATATATAGTTAGCTATTTATACAACAAATTATTAATTCATTTATTGGATAGCGTATTTTTATTTAGTAAAGTATAGATTTAGATCTTATGATTAATAAATTATATATATTGTCGTATGGGAATTCGGAATCTCTTGATTTTAAATCCTTTACCGAGGGCTATTTAAAAAATCTTAAAATCCGATTTAACCGGAAATGTATTCTAGCATATAAGTAGAGTATTTTCCCTATAAATTTCGGCCAATTTTGCCATGAACTTTAGAACTAACTTCTAATTTATATTAATTTTAGTATTTTTCATATAAATTAAAAAAATACTAAAATATACGGCCGGCCTGACCGGGGTATTTTTTTTGCGTGATTCAGTATATACTATATATTATATTAAAAAAGAAATTGCGAATTAAGGGTAATGATAAAAATTTGAAAGTATTATGATATTTGTTATATCTATTCACTTAATTTAACACATCACTATAAAATACACAAAAGAATATATCAATAACATGTATAATACCTAGACTGACGATTCATTCATTAAAATGCATTTTTAAGCGTCGTGAAAAGCAAATCAGCTTGACCCGCCATTTTGGTAATACATACAGTAATTATTCTCATGTTAAAAACTACTATTGAATTGATAACTTGCTTCCTTATTATCTTGATGATCCGGTATTTCTTTAATAAAGTTTGCTGCATCAGATATAGGAATAAATTAGGCTCTCGTTATAAAATTTTAATAATGATTTGTGTAAAACGACAAACATTAATGTGGCTATAGACGATACAGGATCTGATCCCGTTCCCATTACTTCACTTTCTTTATTTTCGGAAGAAATCGTGGATTTTGAAGCATCTGTTCGTTTTTCGATAATATGTTGAGGAGATGACGCATTGCCAGTGTATTTTGCTCAGAGAAGTTATGTAAACCGATTAGGCAACCCCAGGGGACCAGCGGCGAGTCCTAAGAGAGCCGAAGTCGGAAATAGGGTGTACCAGGCGGGCACGAAATTAGCCGCCAAGAAACTGACGTATATAACCATGGATAATACGATCGTTCATTTTATAATTAGATAGGGTATGAGCAATTCTGGTAAAAATAGGCAAGAAACGACAAAGAAGGTGTATATTATGCACATCGAAGTAGAACCGAGCCCCTTGTAAGTGTATGTGCTAGTGAGGAGGGTAGAGAGGAAGCCGAGAATAGGGTGAAATATGACGCGCTGAGTGCTATCAGGTTTTTGTAGGCTCTCCATTTTGAGGGTTTTGTAGTGGGGCTGGTGACATTTCCAGCCGACGTTTGAGATAATAATTCCATGTAAAAATTCTTTTCTCTCTAGATACAGATTACTTTTTTTAATAAACGTGTATCTATAAAATTTATACTGCCATTTTTGTATCGAGTTACTTTAACAGCTCTTCCCGCTCGCTTTCAACCATAAGCATAACGTAATAATTTTTTTAAATGTTATTATAACCCCAATATAATTTATATGCCAATACGCTACGCTTCTGCTATCTTACATGGATAATCTTAGCGGATCGCAAAACCGCGAAGGCGATTTCAGAGAATCAGTTTATAACTTAAGATATTAGCCACCAAAAAAAACGACATTCATTAATTCATATTAGAAATTTTTTGATCAGCAATGAGATTTGAATTTGTAATATGTTATCTCCCTTAGTCTTAGAAAAAGAAATGTTTTTTCATTATTTTCGCCTCACGTTTGGGGACAAACAATAGCATTGAATCTCCCCAAACTTTCAATTTTGGACTTATAAAATGGCGGGTATTCCAACTGGAAGCATAAAGTAAATATTTAATTATTTTAAAATAAAAAAATAATGCAAAAAACATTTATTTTCATAGTTATCTAGATTAATCATTTTAGTGTTCGAATTTGTTTTTACTCGTTTTATAATACGAGATGCTTAATTTCTGTAAATTAGTATTTGAATGTTGATCGTGTGCTATTCAATTGGTGGTGGGTAGTGTTGTTAAACGGCTCGTTTTGAGCCGATTTTTAAAAACGGCTAACTCAATATTTTAGCCAGAAAAATATTGCCTAAGTCTCAAGATTTCGAAAATATATGTCTATACATTTGTTCCTTCTATGAGCAAAATCTTCAGGCTTGGGTAATATTTTTTTGGATGAGGTATTGAGTTAGCCGTTTTTAAAAATCAGCTCAAAACGAGCTGTTTAACAACACTAGTGGTGGGAGATCTGATGTTCTAGGTTCAAATTCCAGCAAAGAACATGTTTAATCCAATTTGAATGGTTCCATCCTTAGGAGCACGATATACACGAGGTCGGACTCGACCACCTGATACCGTAATAATATATATTGGATAATGAGATGGTCTTATTACACGTTACAATACATATTGGTCGGTATTTAGCAAAATTAGATTGTGTTATTTAAAGAATGTTATACCTTTGACTTGTCAGTAACGTTCATCATCCCATGTGTTTTTTGATTGGCATGCCAAATTATTCGGTGGAAACGATGGCGTCGCCGATGTTATAAATTTAAAAAAAAAATGAAATTCAATTTATAATTCATTTATATTACATTTTTTTTTGTTATTACTCTTGGGTCATTTTCTGTTTCATCCCCCCTAAGCATATGTTTTGTTATTTTTTTTTATATTCTCAGAAAATTAAGAAATGATTAACCGAAAAAAAACGCTTCCTCCAACGCTTTACCATTAAACCTTTCCAATTTTAGCGTCTTATGCAATATCCAATCAAATGCGAGCGACAATGATTATATGACAAAACAGTGATTGCCAATTATATTTTATTTCTATAAAAAAATTATTTCTTCAAAATTACAATCCCTCAAAATATAAAATTTGAATATAATATTTATATTCTTTTATAAATTAACCATAATTCGTTCTCTGTTCCTAGCAATGACATATATATAATACCTAGACTGACGATTCATTCATTAAAAGTGTACATCAATGCAAATCAGCTGGAGACACCATCTTGGTTACACTAATCATTATTAAAATTTTAAAACGAGGAGCCTAATTTATTCATATATCTGATGCAAACTTTATTAAAGAATTACCGGATCATCGAGATAATGAGGAAGCAAGCTATCAATTTAATAATAGTTTTTAACATGAGTATAATTACTACACGTGTTACCAAAATGGCGGGCCCAGCTGATTTGCTTTTAACGACATTTAAAAATGCTTTAACGAATGAATCGTCAAGGTTTAGGTATTATATATGTCACTGGTTCTTAAAAACAATCTAATCTCCAAAGAGTGTGTTAATGTTTTTTAATATAATTGGAAAAATCGTTATTTAGTAAATAAATTTATTTAAAGAATTGAGCTTATACTTACATTATGAACGATTTATTTCTTGTATTTTTTCGAAATTTCCAAATAAATTTTTATAATTTGATTTCGAGCCGCGGTGAATAGGGGGTGGTAAATTCCTTCTATTTGCTCCTTTAAAGTCATTTAATGAAATAGATTTTAATCGAAACTCATAAGTGTTGTTAAAGAGATCGTTGTGAGCTGATTTTTAAAAAACGGCTAACTCAGTGCTTCATCCAGAAAATATTACGCAAGACTAAAGATTTTGCTCATAGAAAGAACAAAAGGTCTATCCATATATTATCAAAATCTCCTTAGGGGTTAAGATAGCCGTTTTACAATACTAAGCACATTGTCTCCATACCAATAACCGCATAACTTGGTTGGGTAGGGATATTATAAACTTCTATGACATAATCTCAAATTAATAAATTTATTATGTGGTTCTTCGATATAATACCTATAGTCACTACTTAAAGAGGGGGAGGGGGGGGGGAATTGATAATATGGAAAAAAAAATTTGTAGAATAATATGTCAGGTATAATTGAATCGTATAAAAGAATCAGGAATGAAATGAATATTTTTATTGGTGTTAATTAGTGTTGTTAAACGACTCGTTATTCGTCCAGAATACTCATAAGCAAAGCCTGAAGATATTGCTTGTAGAAGGAACAAAAGTTTAGACATCTATTAGCGAATCCTTAGGAAATTTTTTTTCCTGGCTAAAATATTGTGAGTTAGCCGTTTTTAAAAAGTTAATATATAAAATTTTGTCTAATATCTAATAATTAAACATCTGTTAAAAAAAGAAGTATTTATAAGGTAATAAAATTTCCAAAACTGTAGAGTTATATTTTTCACAGTGTATATATGGATATTGTAGAAAATAAAATATAATTGACTAGAGGAGACGGCAGTAATTTTTTGACATTTTTTTTTAATTCTTGCTATAAAATTATGTAAATAAGAAATTTTCGCAAAAAAAACAAACTATTTGATTTGGCTATGCTGAAATTATTTTTGCCTCGAGAATTTGTTTTTTTTTGCTTCTCCGAACGAATTTTAACAATAATCATCTATGGTCCGGATTTGCCCCAAGCCCGGGGTACGATGGGACAAATGTCTATTGGCTTTATTTAAATAGGAAATCAATTTTAAATGAATTTTTTAAATATTATATGTATAAAATTTATAGTTTAGCAAACTCTAAACATTAAAAAAAATAAAGCAAGAAGGTATCGCCCCCCCCCCTATTTTTTAGCGAAATATTATCCGAGAAATATTATATTATATATTTTTATTTTTAAAAAATTTTTATCTAAGCCAATTTATCCTGGTATCTACCAAAAATATCATCAATTGAAGAAATTAAATTAATAGAAAATTTTTAGAGGGATTCACTGTTGAGGTTTATCAGCTGAGTGTTGTTAAACGGCTCGGTTTGAGCGGATTTTTAAAAACGGCTAAATCAACAATTATAGCCAGGAAAATATTAGCTAAGTGATCGAGATTTCTCCGATAGATATTTAATCCTATGTGCCATCTTTGAGCAAAATCTTTAGGCTTGCATAATATTTCTCTGCTGGGGGAAATAATGAGTCGAGCCGTCTAACAACACTACACTGCTTGGCACATTTGAATGCTTAATTTTGTTCGTTCAACTTGCTGCCTTCAGAGACACCCTAATTTAGGCAAAATATCTTCTCTTTATATTTAAAATCTTTCACTCATGACAAATAAGTTTGTGCTATATCCAGAATCCGATTAGAATTTTCCCTTACCTTGTCAAAGCAATCAAACTAATTTAACTGCCATTTTCCAATATCGTTAAAATTTAAGGTACTTTTTTTTTAGAAAAAACAAAATGATATTAAATAAAAAAATTTTATGAAAAGAAAGCCATTAAAGATATAAAAAATTCTTGCGAAAATATTTTAATTTATTATTATTTTTTAGATATCATTTTATTAACTTTAATTTGAAAATGATTATCTTGATCACAGATAAAATGTTATAAGGTGATGTTTATATAAGTATTTATTTTTTGCTTGTTTTGTTATATCACAATATTATTATTTAATAAATGAATGCGAATTTATAATTATTTTCACATTTTTCCTTAATTTAGAAACTTCCTTACTCTTTGTTTAACAACTAACTTGTATATTTTTTTTTAGACAATTTCCTTATTACCTAATTTACCTAGAGAGAGAAAATAAAAAAGATGAAAAGTTATAAAATAAAATTATCGTCCCGAACAGCTGCTAGAATCGCGACCGGCACCACCGAAAAATCCTTAAAATGGAAATCTTACAAGAACCTCGTAGCTCTCGGCATTTCGTTTTTCCTGCTATTCTCGGTCTTCCAAGCTCTATCCACCCTTCAGACAAGCGTAAATGCTTATAGAGAACTGGGATCCACCTCGATGTGCATAATATACGGATTTTTCATCTGTTCTGGTCTATTTTTACCGAAATTGCTCATATCATACCTAACTATCAAATGGACCATGGTCTTGTGCATGTTCATGTATACCAGTTTCGTGGCCGTCAATTTTAAACCGGCCTGGTACACGCTTTTCCCAACGTCGGTTCTATTGGGACTGGCAGCTGGTCCCCTGTGGATATCCCAATCGGTCTACGTAACTTCTATGAGCAAGCTGCTTTCCAAGCCCGTTTCAGGAAACGAGGAGAAGAATGACAAAAATCGAGTAGATATATCCGTTATATCCACGCCGCAGCCGCCTTCCAACTCCGTTGGTACCATGGTAAATTGTAAAAAATTTACGATGAAAATTGGCGAAATAGGAACGCGGACAATCGAAAATAGCGAGCAAGCGGGGAATATGGCGCCCTTCTTGTTCGGAATTTTTTTTACGTTTTATAACACCGGTATGGTATTCGGCCAATTAATTTCTTCGCTCACGTTAAGGAGCGATATCGTAACTAAATCGCGCGACAACTATAGTATCTTTAACCATTCTATCAACTGCGGATCGGCCTTTTGCTTCAATTACGAAACGGAGGCTTCCATTTTCAAGCCCTCCTTGGCTAAAATGTACACCCTATACGCCGTATATACCGCGGTGTCCCTTTCCGCTCTATTGGTAGTCGCCATTTTTGTGGATAATCTACCGAGAGAATCTGTTAAAGATGAGAACGGTATTTAAAATTTATAATTTTATCAAAAAAAATTTGACCATGGTCCACTTTTCCGCCGCGTTTTTACGCTTGCCTTGTTAAAAGTGAGAATTTACCTCTTAACCAATTTAATTATGAAGGGTGATTTGAACGCGGCTTTATAAAAAAAATTGAGAACCCGGACCAAGGTAGAAGATAGAAAAAATAATTTAAAATAATTTTGATCCCCATCCCCTGCCACTCTAAAAAAAGGTATCGAAAGAGATAATTCCGTTTCGACTATGTGCCTGTCCACCTTAAATCAGATGCGGGATCCTAGGCAACTACTTTTGATTCCGCTTTCCGTTTACTACGGATTGCATCAAGGCTTTATATCGGCCGATTTTTCAAAGGTTAAAAAAAACAAAATAGGAAATATTATCGCATTCATTCATACTTAATTTGAAATATGTTTGATTTTGAACCCTATTTATTTTTTTAAAAGAATTTTTAAACCAATCATTGTTTCTCTTTAATATTTGAAGTCGATTGTATTCAATGTCATTGGCTGTAGTAGACGCCATTGAAAAATCGCTTTTCATAATTCCGTCTAAGTATCTTTCAGTGAAGCAAGTTCAATGTAATGCATTTCTAAAGAATTAATCTTCATGACCAGAAGTGTTTTTCGGAATGTACAGAGTTTTCACACTGTGCGTTCCAGATAATTTAGCATTGAACCTGAACTTCCAAACTACTCATACTTTTTATTAAATTTTTTCTTTATAAGTAATATATAAAAATTGGACTTGATAAAATGATGGTCTTAATAATGATTATATCTTTTTTTTTATCTCGTCAACTAATAAATTCATTATCAGATTAATTTTAAATTTCTGTTTTTGAATTTATAAGCATATTAAAAAAATTATTGAATAATTAAGTTTTAAAAGGGGAAAATAATTATATCTTATAATTATTTTTATCATATTTATATGTATTTTTTTTAAAGACATAAAAGCCTTAAGCTAAATACAATAATTTCAAAAAATAAAAGTATTTTGGCTTACAATACTAGTAAGATACTTATAAAAATTGGTAATGAATATAAACTAAACCTTCCATATAGCGAAAACTCATTGAGCTACTTGTTAGATACTTATAAAGTAATGAATATATACTTTCCATAGCCTCAACTTATTTAGTGATTCATTAGCTAGTCACTTTACAGGATAATTCAAATATTACAATTCTTTAAATTATAGGCATCCTATGAGCGGAAGAAAACGAACTGGTCAATATTAAAAATGTGATCACATTTAAAGGTTAATCCTGTATAAAATTTGAGTGTTATCCAAGTTTGGAACGCGAAAAGTAGCGCGATTTTAAATATTTTTTTAAAAAAAGGTGGTTATCTCGGTTCACGCAAATCTTACAATACTATAAACCCCCTTTAAAATGAATCACAAAAACTTTGAGAAGATCTCCTTTTGCCTAGAACTGTTTGTGATTCCTGGATTTGTTCCGTTCTGATACTTCCGGTGAGAACGAAATGTCTTGAAATAAGTATCATAACACTCCACTTTAAAAATAAATAATTTTAATCATCATGGCATTTTTTTCGTCTTTTTCTACGAAAAAAGGCATACGTAACATGTTATTACGGAGTGGCTTACCTGGGATTCGTGATGATGGTATACGGAGGGGTCAGCGCTATAGTTTGTCCCATTTCGGGTTACCTTACCAAGAAATTACCCTGTTGGTCACTGTTTTTAATTGCCGCTATAACCCATTCCTGTATAGTTTACCCGACTTTGACTTTCGCTACCCAAGATTTTTCTAGCCACTTTTATCTGATGTTTATCGTAGCTGGCTTATCGGGATTCTTCTATGGACTTTGTCAGCCCCAAATCAGTGGTATATACGTATAATATAAAACTTTTTTAAAAAAAATTCAGAAAGATTCAGAATATAATATTTTATACTTGGATCAGCCACGAATACAATTAGCAAGATTCTAAGTAGTAGATGTAGTTTTAGATGTGATCTGATAGTTTGTTTATCTATAAAAAAAATAGCTTCTAATAATTTTACGTAATAGCATATAGAAATAATGATTACAAAATTTTTCCTTTTATTTCGCGTTCATACTAATATGTATCTGAGACAGCTTGTTTTGTACAGCGAATTTAGGTTTAGAATTTATTTTTTTTGGTTCAGTATCGATGTGCTCTTTCCTGTATAGATTTATTTTGAATTTTAGGAGCGGAATAAGAATAACTTATATCCAAATGGATTATAGTTTTTTTATTTCATGGCAGGCCAAGCTTTTGTATTAAATCATTTTATTTCATATATACGGCGAGGAGTCTAGATATTTGGTAACAACTACAAGTCAATCATTTTTATTGCTAATTTTTTTAAATTGATATTTGTCGAGTTGGGGATGTTTATATTGAGTTATATTTGAGATAAAACGTCCCATAGAGAGTATAATCAGTGTCTGAGTTATCAGATATGAAATTTCATATTCCTTTTTCTTAGGGCCCTAGGTTTTGACAAAATTGTAATTTGAGAGTAAAATAATTCATGCGATTTATCATTAAAACGAATAACGGGTTGGTTGCATGTATATATATTTGTATCTTTTCAGGTTATTATATGGATATTATTGGTATAATCAGTTGTTAACAATTGAATATTTTAATCATCCATCTTATGACTTATTAATGTTTGATATTAGGTGCACAAAACATGTGTGGGTATTTTTCTTAAATACTGGATGCTCGATGATAAAAAAAATTTTAACTTAGTGTGTTTATTCGCCTGATTTAAAAGCTCTACTAGACCCTCTAAGCTATTGAATCTGAAAATAATATATAGCAATCAAATTATGAATCGATATTGACTATGTATAGTAGGCTTAGAAGGTCCTCTCTGAGTCACCTTCACTCCCCACCCAATATTCCAATGAGGCCTTTGCATCCTACCCTTCTCCATGTTTAAGAACACTGCTATTATTTCTTTCAGAACCTTAGAATATTATTATTTTATATCTTAAGAATTCTTTAAAAATAAGGTAATACGGGGAATCTAAAATATGTTCAACAAAGTAGCTATTCGAGAGATGAAAATAATATTACAAGTTATAAATGTATCCTCGAAGAAAAAAATTTACGGCGGTTGATGTCTTTAAGATATTAAATAGGCGTAAGGATTATAAAAGAATGAGTGGTGATTGGTTACTCAAGATGGTCAAATCAAGTTAGTCTAATAGGAACTATATCACTTAAGTTTAGCATTTTCAAATAGTTTTTTTAGTATAATAGATAAAGAGTCAAAATATTTTTGACAGCCAAAAAAATCTAACCCTGAAAGATATATGCCGAAATATTTCTCCTCCCTCCTCCAACTAGCATTATTACACGAGATGGTAGAATAAAGTTATTCTAAACCAACTATATCGCTAAGTTTAGCATCTTTAAAATTTTAATATGATTGGCCAAGTGTCAAAATATTTTCGACAGCTCAAATTTCTCATCCCACAACTAACATTGTTAAAAAAAGGCTAGATTTTATCTGATTTTTAAAAATGGGATAACTGACATTTCGCTAATAGATGTCCAAACCTTCGTACCATCTAAATCTTCCGCCTTGCTTAATATTTTTTCTGAATAAAATATTATGTTAGCCATTTTAACAACACTAGATAATAGCTATATTTTTTTAAGACGTTAATAATTTTCCAGAATGAGGATATTTACCGACCGGATTGCCTGTAGCGTGAGTTTTATCTATCCACTATACATTCATATTTTTCTTATATTTTCAATTAAAAAAAAATAAATTAATAGGTTTATACAGTTCGATATTTCCAAGAAATCCCGAGCCGGCATTCGCCAATCATAGATTATGGGAATCTGTTGGAGTGATAATAAGTTTTAGTTATCACGAGGTCTTATGTATGAAATCAAAGCTCATTTTCTTGACGGCCATTTTAGCTTTGGCTACCGTCTCTTACATTGTTTTGGAGACCAGACTCAAAAGGAAATCCCGAGATAATCAGCACATATAACCCTGTATTCACAGCGCAAATTCGCTGCAAAGTCAATGATATATATTGATACCTAGATGGACGTTGCATTCATAATAATGAATTTAAAAGCATCGTTGAATGAAAATCAACTGGACTCGCCATTTGCAACCCGTATAGCAATTATTCTCATTTGAAAACTACTCTTACATTGATAACTTGCTTCCTTTATTATCTCGACGATCAGGCAATTCTTTAGTAAAGTTTGCGTCAGACATAGGAATAAATTGGCCTCTCGTTTAAAATTTTTAATAATGATATGGGTAACCAAAATGGCGTCCCCAGCTGCTTTCACTGATGTATTTAATGAATGCATTGTCAGTCTAGGTATTACTATCATTGGGCAGCATATTCTGTTTACTCCGCCGTGAATTAGCGTTAACTGCGATAAAAGCGCATAAATTATCTATCACGTGATGTAGTCAAATTGAGACAATAATACCATAATTTTAATATTAAAATATAATTGTATCTCTTTTATTATATTCGGTTATAACTACGTTTAAATAATAAATATATTAGAAAAGTATAGAAGAAGAAGACTCACATAGATTAAATAATAATATATTAATAAAATGATAATAAAACCAGGGGACTTACGGCAAACAAAAATTTTATGTACTATTTCAGTTCCGTTTAACCCCGGCTCATGTTCCAGGAAATGGTTCCTTCAGAAGATAAAAATTTCTCATTTATTTTATATTTTAGTATAATATACAGATGTTTCTTGCGATAAATCGAGATGTTCTAGTTTGCTAATATTTTGTATCTTTATATATATTATATTTTAAAAACATTTTTCTAGATAACACTTAGCTTAGCATAACATTGTCCTTCTTGGAGGAAATAATCCGTAACATTTCCTTATTTTTTAAGGATATAGGAAGCTCCGTTCAACATATGATTGGATGGAATATTAAGATGGAATCAAGTTGAGCAGCGAGATCCTGAAACATATATTTAATCTATATAATAAGTTTTAGTTATTAAATACATTTAAATATATTAATCAAGACATTTCTTTAAAAGATAAGATAAAAATGATTTATATTGGCCACGCGGTATTAATATATGTTCAATAAAAAGACATCCATTTAGCATTAAAAAAGACTAATTAAATATATTATCTCCAAAAAAGATTCATTCTCATAGATAGCAGTGGAACGATTCGGACATATATTCGCGAATTGAGATGGGAATATTTTTCTGGCTGGCTAAAATATTAAGTTAGTCTTTTTTTTTTAAAATCGGCTTAAATCGAATCGTTTAAGAACTTTACTCAGCACTGACTATTGTAAAATTATCCGTTTGAAATTTTAAATGTTAAATTTTTTTATTTAATTATTTATTACATATTAAAATTATTAAATTTGATTTTAATCATAAAAAACATATGATATCAACTCAAAATAAGGATAATAATATTGTTATGTAAAGCAAACTGGAATTAAAGAAATGGGAACGAATTTATAATCACGTGAAAATTTTTATTCGTGGTTTTTTGGAACTTTCTAAAACATCTATCTTTAAGTGTCTAATAGTTTTGTCTTGCCTGATAAGGGTACAAAACATACGGTTCTAAACAATGATGTATAATTAGTACTACTACTAGATTATCGATTCATTTAATGAGGTTAAAAACATTGGAGTCAGCTGTATATTAGCGTAGATGCATTATTTTTCCAACCTTAAATCATTTTTTGAGCGGGGTTTTTAAAAATTTAAAAATCTGATTTTACCGGAAATGTGTGCCGTCATGTTTGGAACACCTACCCTATGAATTTCGGACAATATTTCCCATAAACTTTTAAACTCAATATAATTTATATTAAATATTTTGATATATATAATCATGGGATGTTATTGGTTTTTGATATTATTATTGTATGAAATATAATGATGGAATGCAAATATTGGTTTATATATGTATATATATTCTCTTCTCTTCTCCTCTCCTATGGAACAATAAAAAAACTATTATTTTTAGTTATCCATTTCCGGTATAATATTCAAATTATCATTTGTAAAATATATTTATTAAAAAACTACGAAAGAGGTTGCTAATAATCCCACATTATGTGTCATGTTAATACATAAGAAAGTATGATAGATGTTGGCATGGAATTAATCATAGCCTTATTATGATAACAGAATTATAGAAACGACACACTTATAAATTGTAACTAAATAAGAATAGCCGTGCTCTATAACTTTTCAATATATTAATCTTTTTAAAATATTTATGAGAGGAATAATTTCTAATAAAAGATTGCAATTTAAAAGTTGGTGTAAAATCAATAAAGGTCTTATGTTTATCATTAAAATATCATTATAGTGCTTATAATTTAGTTAATACATTGTAATTGAATTCTTATAGTTACATTAGATGTCAATCTAACAAAAATTATTTGAAAAGTATGAGAACGATACAAACACAGGGCGAACCACCTGCAAATAAATAATTTTTGAAATGATTTTATATTATATATATATCTATCTTACAATAATAATGTTTCACCGAGGTCCAAAAAACCTGTGGGAACCGGTTCAAACAGTGCGATGAAATTTACAGTTTGTTCAAAAGTTACTACAATTAATAAACTTTAGGGTGGTTGGGGGGGAGGGTTATAAATAGTTTAAATTTATTCTACCTTTAACATCTTGAAACCGCACCCTGAAACCCTCAAGGAATCGTTGAATATAACCTCTTATTCACAGTTAACGGTTATTGGCGGTGAAAAATACTAAATATTTTGAATACTTCGTCATTTCGCCGCTAATTAGTGCTAACTTATAAATGAGGGGATTATGAATAATCTTCTTTTTTTAATAATAATAATAGGGCGAACCTGTTCCCTGATTGGTTCTCTAAGAAAGTATAATTTATAAAAAGAAATTATATAAATTTTATTCTCTTCTGTCACAAATTACATGTCTCTTTTATTAAAATATACGATTCGCAAAAATTTTGTCACTTCACAGAAAATAAAAAAAAAATATATAGGCTTCTTTTTTAAGAAATATAAAAATAAAAACATGTTGAGAATATAATTATAGAAAATTTTAAAATTTCAAGAGATTGACAAACGTTATTAAAATTTTAAAACTTCTTAAAGTTTTACAACTTCTGAAAGTTTTATAACTTCTAAAAGTTTTAAAACTATTACAATAGTTCTTAAAAAAGAGATTTTTTACTTAACCTAAAATAACTATAACGCATAATTTAGACTTTCATAATTTTATTTTTTTAAAAAGATAAATCTTTACTTCACCCAACAACGCTGACAAACAAAATATAAATGATTTTTTTATAAAAAAAATTTTAATTATTTAATTTTTTTAACAAACATTTTTTGCCATCAATGTCTAAAATGGAACCTAGGGCTCATAAGAACCCCGGTCTCCGTATGTTCATTTTCTTGTTTGAATTCTCGTTTGGATAACGATAAAGTTTAAGGAAAACATATATATATATATCAAGAATATTATTGCGCTTTTATATTTCCAATTAGAAATCTGCGAAGCCAAGCCCGCCCTGTAGCCCAAAAAATTAGAATGGGTTGGACCAGTCGTGAATAAAAAATTTCGGGCAGACCGAACCGGGTCAGATATAATAAACTATTTCGGGCCAGACCAGATAATTTTTATATAAAAGTTCAGGCAAAGCATGACAAATCTTCAAATTTCCTTAAATTTTTGACAGGCCAGCTAGCTGGGCATCAAGATTTTTGATTTTATTATTTGAAAATCATTTAGGAGTGTAGAATTGAAAGTTTGAACACCATTGTAGAATATGATAGATTTGAATAATGAAAGGGGTAGGAATATCGAAACACAAATGTTAATGACCTAAAATAGACAAAATTATATATTTTTTTATTCATCCAACAATCATAATTACACTCCATCAATATAAAGAGTATATAAACAACAACAACAAAAAATTAGAATTTTAAAAAAATAATAGTGAAAAGTATAAAAAAATTAAAAAAATTAGAAGAAAAAATAAAAAGAATAAATTTAAAGAAAAAATTAAAAGTAAAAATTAGAAGTAAAAAAATAATAAATTTATTTTCCAAAAAATAAAAAATAAAATTTTATAAACAAGTATATCTATATATAATTTTTTTTTTTAAATTAACATCTTAGAAATATACTCATTTGACATAATCCAACAATCACATATAATATCGTAATAATTCTTCTAATTTGCGTCAGACATTTTTGCATAAAAGCATATTCATTTGTATCAAAGGCCTGCAGGACTGGCCTTGGCGGTATTTTAATTTTTTTTAAATATACCCATGACGGGCCGGACAGTATATTGTAAAACCAAATATTTAAAATCGACATTATTAGCTATAATAATCCAAAATAGACGCAAAGTTTATTAAATTCATCGAGATAAATAAGAAATCAAGTTTATGAATTTAATAGTATTTTTAAAGATGAAAATAATTACTACATGGGTTATCAAAATGTCGGGTCTAGCTGATTTGCATTTCAACGACGGTTTCAAATGCGTGCCTTATTAGTAATGCATTGTCAGTCTAGGTATTATTATAGGCCATTGGATAGGGCAGAAAATTATTTTAAATTTGATTTTCAAGTTCTCAATGAATATTAATATTAATTACTTGATTCAAACTCAATAAAAATTATATATGATAGCATACATTAATATTTTATTTAATATATAAAATATATTAAAGTAAAAATTTTTACAAGATTTTTCCAGAACTTCCGTTAGCATTCCAATATTTATTTCTCCAAGTTCCGTTTCCGGCTCCGTTATATAAAAAAAAATTATTATTTATATAGATTATAATTTGCATATTTTTATTTATATTGGGGGAAAAAAAAAATTTTTGTAATAAATAATTTAATTTTTTAAAGAGTAACCCGTTACTTTTTTTGAATAGCCAGTAACGCGCCCTATTTTCACAATGTAACGAGAATGGTAACGCTATTCTTTTCCCAGATATTAAGAGTAACGAGTTTCATTTTTAAAGTAACGTTTACACCTACTTTTCGTTTATCTTGAATCTTAATACCAATTTTCTCATTTTGCTATTAAATTTTTATTCATACTGTTTACAATGTATATTTAAAATGTAGACTATTATTGGCTTAAGTTTCAGAATTAATGCTTCCAATCACAACTTCATGTCTATGACTGCATCTTATTATGATATTCAGATTCATATCAAATTTATGAAAATATATCTCAATTAAAAATATAATTAGATTCTGACTATTTTAATTTCTATATATCCCTGCATGTCAAAATATTATTCGGTGGCGGGTTTGTATTTTTTTTAGCGGCGGTGAACCTGCTGCGCCAGAGACCGAGGTTCTTATGAGCCCTAGGTTCTTGCGAGTAGTGTTGTTAAAAAGCCTGATTTGGGTCTATTTTAAAAAACGTCCTGATTAAGATTAGTTAAAATGATATTATGTAAGGATTTCGCACGGTAAAAAGATTTGGACATCTATTTGTCAAATCTCGATGCCTTTTTCTCTTATAAATACTCAACTCTAATTAGTTAATTTTTTTTAAACCAAAAATATATAACTACATTATGCATATTCTAGGGGCTATATTTGATTTATATATCGAACCTCATAAAAAAAAATTTATAATAAAATATATAATTTATACCCCCTTAAAAACTAACTTTTTTTTAAATGCTACGATTTCATCAAAAATAAATAATAATTGAAGCTTTAATCATCCAATAACTATATTAAAAGATTATATCCTATTCTATATAAAATTATTCTTCAATTGAAGAAAAAATATGTTTGAACTTCCGTAACATTAAATTTAAAGATATTAAGAGCCTTGGAGGCTATTTAAGAGGCTTATACGAGCATGCTGAGCACCATTTATAAAAAATTTTAATTACTTATTGAAAATTTCAAATCTCAATTCTTTTATTCCAAGTGTCTATTATGTTATATCCAAAAAGTATATATATAGAAAGAAAAGTAAAAGCGAGCAAATCCTCATCGATTTTGACCTCCTCTCTCTATAAAAAGAAATAGAGAGAAAGGTGCTATGAAAACTGCTTCTAAGAACAACAATAATAAAAGAGAACTTATCCACCAATCAACTATTTATGATTTGATATAATTTTACGTATTTTCAGGCATGATTAAACTACACAACACCCTTACCTATCTAATGATTATATGTTATCAATATTCTCCCGTACATATTTTAAATTTTTTTGAAAATTGAATTTTACTTTTAGAAAAAGATATCCCATTGACTATGTATTTTTAATACTTTTAATCGATATTTATATGGTCATTGGAATACGACAATAATGTGACAAGGCTTTTCATTACAAGGTTATAAATAATTAATTTACAAGGTTTAATATTTTATGAATATTATTTTTACTTTGTAAATTAGCACTTAAATCAACTTATAATTTTAAAAATAAATTTAACTGTGGATTAATCTTAAGACTTTCACTACGTTACGTATTTAGATAAAATTTTAAAAAAAATAAACTCGTATAAATAATATTAATAAATCAGTGTTTTTTTAAATTCTAAAAAACGGGATTATTAAAATGTAGTTTTTTTTAAAAAAGGGTGTTTTTTTTAAAAAAAACTGGATGATTTAAATGTGATTTTTTAAATCAAACTTAGTTATATAAGCTCCCTAACAAGAACCTTAAATATTTGGTAAAGTTATGATTGTACTGAATAAAACTTATTAACCCCAAATTATAAAACTTAAAAAATAATTATGTTTAGCTTTTGACTCAATGACATATGATAATAGCTTGACTGACGATGCATACATTAAAAGTGTACACCCATGAAAACAGCTGGGCACGCCATCTTGATTACCCATATCATCATTAAAAATTTTAAACTAGTGGCCAATTTATTCCTATGTCTAACGCCTTTATTAATGAATTTCCTAATCACGGAGATAATAAGGAAGCAAGTTATCAATTTATTGGTAGTTTTTAACACGAGAATAATTACTATATGGGTTACCAAAATGGCGGGCCCAGCTGATTTGCGTTCATTGACGCTTTCATATGTGATTGGTTTGACTACAATACAACAGCAACGATTGAGATGAAGTGAAAAAAAATAACTATAAATAAGTGTAAAATTTACTAATATTATATTTTATAAATAAATAACACACATTTCAAATATCTATTAAACGATGACATTACACAAGCATAATTTCGATATATATATATAAAAAAAAATTTTTCACTATCACAAAACTGTTACAAAATATCTAATTTTTGGGCAAAATAAGCCTTATAAAAAAATCGTTTTTGAAAGAGTATTCTCATTATCCACGAGGGTTTAAAAAAACTGACAATAAATAAAATAAAAAGAAATTGATTGACTAGAATCGTGATGTAAATTTTAAGATACTTTTATACTTTAAAATCACAATGAGTTACATTTTTTATAGGAACTAAATTTGATATTGCATTTTTTGATTCGCTGAAATGTTCCTTTTAACGTTTCAGAGATGGGCCTTTTTAAACCAGAAACGAATTTAAAATAGACAGGGAGTCGGTATAATAATCGGGATATAACAAATCAACATCGCCATTTATATATCCCATTCCTGGTGGATGTAATCCCTGGCTCGAAGTCAACTTTTCGACATCCTCTTTACTTGTAACGCCGCTCAATACGAGAATCGTAAGCATACCTTTACGATTGGCGCCCAATATATCGGTGTTTAATCTTTTGTCACAATTTTTTTTTTAAATAAAAGTGGTTAAAAATTTACATAAAAAACGTTATTTTTTCAACTTTAGATCATATTTTTGGGCGCGTTTTACCGGATGTGAATTCCTTTATGTTTGGAATTTCAGACAATTTTTCCATGAACTTTTAAGTTATTCCATAGATTTTTCATGTAAATTATAAATGACTTGAAAGTTACAAAATAAAAAATAACTCCTGTCTAGTTTCTCACAAAAGTTTCAAAATATATCAATTCAATTGTTACAAAATTAATCGTATTATATTTCAAAATGTAATGTCAGTTTTGATCTTTTTTTTAAAAATATTAGGCCCAACCTAGCCTGATCATAATTCTTTTTTAAAATAGGCTCATGTTGCGACAGGCTATTTTTCCAGATCTCTAAAATTTATATTTAAGTAAAATTTTTGGGCCACACTGTAGTCCAAAACAAATCAAGTTGGGCCAGGCTTGGTCAAAAAAAATTGAATTTGCAAGTCTCTAATACTAAGAAGCAATCATACATAAAATCTTCAATAAATATATAATAAAACCTATCACCAACGAACAAAGTTTTGGATAAATCTAGTTTATGTTCGTGAATCATGCATTGAAACATAGGATCATGAGGCTTACCAGAAATCCAGGGTTTTCTGCATGCTGAATGTTCAACACATGCTACTATAGATCCTGTTCCTATAATGATACAAAATTATATTTTGGATTAATGCTTAAATAATATTTATTCAATCTAATATAAATATATTTTGTTTCAAATTTTATTATAATTCATACTTGCCTGGAATGACAACAGTTTCACTTTTAGATGGAAAAAGTTCATCTGTATTAGTCGCAATAAATAAATGTCTAGGGTTTTTCAAATATGATACTGCTTTCAAGCATTTGTAATAATTAAAATTTTTATCAAACCCAACAATGACCCCTTCAACCTTTTATAAATATGAATATAGAGCATCTAAATAATTTCTACTTCTGGATCTATTGAGGTTTTGTTAATCCAATCTGCTACATCACCTTCTAAATGTTCCGGCTAGATTAAATACTTCTTTAAAATAAAAAAAATAAATTTTACCCCAAAAGGAAGTACCTTGACGTTTATTTTTTCTAATTCTTTTTTAAAACTTTCACTTCCAATAAGGAAGACTTTTTTATTTTGAAATTTAAAATAATTTTCTAGATAATAGCATATAACATGTACTGTACAATATATTTCTTCCTATAAAAAAAAATAACTATGTGTAAACTAAAAAAAGATCAGTACCAATTTTACATTTAAATCTAATTTACCACATTTTTCCTGATATTCCTTCCTAGATTTAGAACTATTGTTGGTAGCTATTAGTATTTTTTTATTCTTGTTTATAATGGATTATAAATTTCATTTTATTAAAAGGATCAATACCATTTTACGTAATTTGTCTAATAATTCTTTCACCCCTGCATTAACTTCGTTGTTGTTCCATAAAACACCTAATTTAATACCATCAGATAGTTTATTATAAATAAATACCATCACAGTCAAATATAAAATTATCGTAATTGCCTAAAATTTTCCTAAAGATCTCTGGATCTTTCAAATATTCACATTTTTTACGTTTTGACATTCACAAAATTTTTTACACGGTATACTTACTGATCATGTAAGAAATTCTGTCGCATATCAGTTTTGACATGTCTTGTGAAATATTGACATGTTATTTCTAAAAAAAAGGCCATTTTAGAATACTTATCTAATAAACCTACAGCCATAAGTTAATAACATTAACAAATAAAGAACAAAATTTAAAACATTAATAAAAGTAGCAAGTAGTACTATACATGAAATCGGGACTCTTTTTCTTGGCGATCCTTCAGTTCTTGGCTGCCATCTATAACATTATTTTAAAAACTAAACTCAAAATGTAATCCTAGGGATAATTAGCGAATATATTATCTTTTATTTGGTACTAATTATAATGAAACAAAACTATATATGATGATTTTATCAAAAAATTATATATATTTTATTATGTTGAGATTCAGAATTAATATATTATAGAGTTTATAGACACATCAGGCTTGTTAATTGATGCTTTTATAAGATCGAATCCCGATCACGATCTTTTTAAAAAAAATAGGATCGAAATCCAGGATCGACTTTTTTTTAAAAAAAGGATCGCGATCATGATCCTTTTCTTATTTAAATTTCTGATTGATGCAAAATTAACTAATATAAAAATTAAATAAATATGGAATAAATTTATTGTAATTGAATAATATATATAATAACAATTAGAATATATTTATTTATAATTAAAATTAGCCTTTAATAATAAAAATTTTTCAAAATTATCATCATTTAAACATCGACGTTTTTCATTAAGTACATGTTTAGCTTTACTAAACAAGCGCTCCACAGGAGCGCTTGATGGCAAGGGTGTGTTATATTCAATAAAAAAAAATTAAAATTTACATAATTATTAAAAATATTCACTGAATCATGAATAGAATAAAAAAAATTATTAAGTGAAAGAACATTTATTTATGAATTTTTCCCCAAAAAGGTATCGATTTCATCCATGCATTCATTTGAAGGATCTGCATGTGGTTGACCCTGTATATTTTCTAAATGGGCAATTAACCTTTCTTTTAGCAACAAATTTTGTGGCAGATTAATAAAAGGCCAATTGAGCTTAAACTTTGGGTGAATTATTGATGCCAATATATTACTGTCATCATATAGTGAAGGAAATCTATATTAATAAATGATAATTAATTTATTAGTAAATAAGTGTTCATTCATATAAATCAGGTATCTGCAAAAGTAAGCCCTTTAGATTTTACAGTCAGGCCTGACCAATTGTATAATATTGATTAAATTTAATAATTTTTAATGCCTATTAGGCTCATTAAATTTTACCAGATATAAGAGGCTTAGTAGACCAAACTTGTTAAAAATATTTTACTAATTTTTTAAATAAATTTTGCAGATATCTGATATCTAATAATATAAGAACTTATGAATAAATGTTCAACACAAATTTGTTAAACATATTAAGGTATATTATTATTTACCGTGGTTAATAAGGTCATATATAAATTCTCTTAAAATACCAAATTTACAATATTTCCTTCTAATATATGATTATTATAATTAAGATTAACACATAGATAAATATATTAATTATTTTAATAAACAATAAAAATTATATTTTAAAAATAAACTTTTAGTCTCTTTAAATTTGAACTACTAATCTTTGAGGAGGAGATCTTGTTTTTGCATAAAGAACATTTTGCATAGATCATTGTCTGGTTACTTCCATCCGTTTCACATAGAGTAAAATACTTACGTAAATTATGAAATGGTAAAAGATTCACATTCTCACCTATATCTACTGTCATATCAATAGTAGTACTAGTAGATGAATCATCTTCTAAATTTATAATGGAGGACATTATTAAAACCTAGATTTATTTATATTATAATATAATTAAATTAAATTAAATAAATAAACTTGTATTTGTAGGCTTTAATCACTTCCAAAAATTGAAAAAATGAAATTTTTGAAATATGGTGGAATGGTAGTTGATATAATATGATGTAGATAGATATATTTTTTAAAATAATATTTTAATTTAATTTTCAAAATTTTTATTTTATTTGTTGCTTTTTAAGTAAAAAATTAATTTTTAAAAGGATCGGGATCGAATATTTAAGAAAAAGATCTCGATCACGATCCTCAATTTGAGGTCAGGATTCCGAATCCAGGAAAATTGACAAATTTAGATCGAATCCAGGATCGGCGATCTTTTGATTCGATCCTTTAACAACTCTGAGACACATATATACCTTAAATTAAATGATAACAAAACTAGGGGCCTGGGACAAAGGCATTTTGGCATTCACGTTCCTTGAAATTTTTTATGTTATATTTGCATTCCATTTCATGCCTCATAACGTTTCGAAACATGTTCCCGAAAATATACATCATTTTATTTGTATTTTGTCAATATGCTATATTTGTCAATCCAGGTTTTCATTAAAATATGACGAAACAGAGAAAACAGATTAGAAATTTACACTGTAATTCTAAAGGGTTTAATTCTATTAGCGGCTTCTCTAAATAAATCAGGTTATATCGTTTATAATGGGCGCCATAGTAATAAATGATAAAATAATGATTATATTTGACCATTTAATTTAAAAAATTGTTATATTATGAACAGACACATAATGAAAGATGTTATGTATTATGCTAGTGTTTAAAAAGTCCGATTCGGATCGATTTTTTAATGCTGCCTGATTAAGGTTATAACCAAAATAATATTATGGAAGCCAGGAGATTTTGCTGATAGCTGGTAGAAATGTTTAGACATCTATTTACTAAATATCAAGGCTTGATTAATATTATTTTGGTTTAAATTTTGATTAGTCCATTTTAAAATCGATCCAAGTTGGGCTTTTTAAAAACATTATCTTATACAACTGTCATTTTTAAATAAAACATATTTTGTTATATTTATTTAATTAAATGATTTTAATGAAATAAAGGGAGAGTCTTATTTTATAGTTGAATAAACATTGAAAAATACATTCATTATATGATTATTCATGATATGAAATTTAATTTTTACTATAATTAATCATAATTTAAATATATTGAGCTAATAGGGATACTCTTTTTTTATTAAATTAAACTTTAATATAGCTTTGAAAATCATTCAGGTTTTTAAAAATGGTACCATAATGATCAATTTAGAGTGATCTGAAAATATCGTAATGGATAAATTAAATTGACCGGAGAAATTCTTACAGGACATGGTATTTATTTTCCCAATATTAGTGTTAAATATTAGCAAAATTATTCAAAGGAAATTTATATTCAGATCCAAATGTATAAATTATCATTCCAAATTCTGAATATGATGATGCGGATAATGATAAATCAAAATATTCCAAAATTTGAAAATACTGTAATATCAATTATATTTTTTCCAATAAAATTTTCAATAATGATATAAGGAAAATGGCGAAAACAGATGTAAATTTTTTTATGTATTTAGAAAATAAATTCATTTATGAAATTCTACGATATATTTGCTTTATTCGAAAGAAAAAGGTATAATATACTTTCAAATGCCAATATTATTTTTGGATATTATTAAAGTAATCTCGGAGTTATATATATTTATCAAATATTTCAAAATCATTTTCCCGAGGTAAAACTCCATGATGCATATATCCAAAATACATTTTGTAAATTAAAAACATCTGCAAATTATTCGGTTTTATAAATTCTTTTCCCCAAAATAAGATAATTTGGATTTTCATATTTTTCTTACTTTATTATTTCAATCCAATCCTTTTCCGGAATATGTTAATTCGGAGTTCTTTATGCTTCGATCGTATTCGTATATAAGACGAATATGACATCCTATTATGGACAAAGCGCATTTCTTTGATAGGTTCGTGAAGAGAATTTCAAAGGCGTCCTCCTATGGACGAATGCCCTATTGATACGAATCAAAGTGTCTTCTTATATAGGGCACCTGTCATTTTTCTAAAATGTTTAAAATTTTTATTCCTTATTATAACATATTACGATTTAAAATTGACTTTCTGATTTTAAAATTGAATAAAAAATGTTATAATCGTAATAATTTAAACTTTAAATTAAGAGTATAACCATTAGAGGAGATGTGTTTTTTTTTTATTTTTTAAAAAATTATTCACGATTTTTGAAAATAAAGGCAACCCGTTTTTCAAAAATGGATCGGCGTCAGTCGATAGTGGCGTTTTTTTTATCAGAGCAGAAAATTCAAATTGTGACTAATGAAATCTAACTATTTAATAAATGAACGATACTAGATATAGCCTTACTCCCTTAAATATTTTACATGGGATAGCTTCACATCATGTAAATCATTTTTTTAATTTCTACATTTCAAGTAATTTTTTTTCTCTATTGTTTAAAAGTTAAATTTTTATTCGGGGAATTATTTTAATTCTCATTCTTGTTAGGATCGAATAAAATGGGATTATTTTTCTTTTCCCAGGGGATATGGTGTAGGGATACCTGGTGGGTGTGAAGCTGCTGTGCACTTAACAAGAATTCACCTTGAAAATAACCCAAAAAACGAATCCCTAGTAAAAATTGACTTCTCTAACGCCTACAACGCTCTTTCGCGCAACACGTTCCTACATTCAACTTGCTTCCATTTCCCCGCTTACACCAAATTTCTTTTCTCTTGCTACCAATCACCAACAATCTTACAATTCAACAAAGAAAAGATACTTTCTGTCGAGGGTATCCAACAAGGTGACCCTCTCGGATCCCTTCTCTTTAGTCTTGGAATCAATGACATGATAAAATCAATAAACTCTTCATGTACTCTATCGCTCCACGCTTGGTATATTGATGATGGAATCTTGAGTGGTCCCAGTAGTGAAATTGCCAAAGCAGTCAACATAATTAAAGAAATGGGCACAGCCATTGGACTTTCGCTTAACCAGAGCAAATCTGAATTCTCACTTTTAAATTCTAATGCTACCAACACTCACGATTTCAAATTCACATCAAGCGTTGAATTAACACATCTAGGATCGCCTGTTGGAGGACATGAGGCAATAAGCACCTTTCTTCATTCCACACTTGACATACTCCTTA